TAATATTAGCTTGGTTGTTATATAATGAATCCATGGGAGTTTTGGAAAAGTTTATGCTCATCTGATGGCCCAACCTCTTCCTTTTATATGTGGAACTCCTATAGCCTACAGGAAACTTGCTCAAGATAACTTAGAGCTGTAGTTCTGTCTGCTTTTCCTATACTTTTTTTTTTTAAGATTTTATTTATTTATTTGACAGAGAGAGAGAGATAGCGAAAGCAGGAACACAAGCAGGGGGAGCAGGAGAGGGAGAAGCAGGCTTCCCACCAAGCAGGGAGCCCGATGCGGGGCTCGATCCCAGGACCCTAGGACCATGACCTGAGCCGAAGGCAGATGCTTAATGACTGAGCCACCCAGGCGCCCCGGCTTTTTCTATACTTACAAACTAGTCTATTTCTTTGCTTTAGGCTTCAGATTTTCATGCCATGTCAGCCCTGCATTTATTTGAACCTATCTGAAAAAATATTTGCTAGGTTTTAACACTTACTGATTGAAAACTCACAATAATAACCACTTCTTGGTAAATGATTCTTTTGATTCATTCCATTATTATGGTTGACACAACTGAAAATGAATTCATATTTTTAGCTTAAACTTTCTTTTCCCAAATCATTATAGAATAATTCCCTTATCATATGGATTTCTGACAATTAAGTTACTGCTAGATTAAGGACCCAGATATCATAAAAGAGAGCTATAATTCTTAAGTGCTGTGAGTAAAAAAGGAGGAAAGAGAAGAGAAAATCTCAAAATCATTTGGGGAGTTTTGACAAACTATTTGTGCCCTGGAGAGGGATCTGGGCATGTGAGTTTGAAAAATCATTCCAGAGGGGCGACTGGGTGGGGCAGTTGGTTGAGTGGCTCCAGTTCTTCATTTCGGTTCAGGTAGTGATCTCAGTCTTGTGAGACAGAGCCCCGCATCAGGCTCTGTGCAGCATGGAGACTGCTTGAGATTCTCTCCGTCCCTCTCTGCTCTTCTTTTTACTTGCATGTGCCAGCGTGTGCACATGCGCTCTCTCTCTCAAATAAATAAATCTTAAAAAAAAAAAAGAAAAGAATTCCAGAGATTCTTATCTCCTCTAGTACCCATTACAGAAATGGTGACTTAACAGGAAAACTGATAAAATGTTAAAAAACATTTATCCATGGTCCTTCCTCTATATAGACATATGTCATAGAACATGGATAAATACCTTATGTGTTCACATTATATCTAGAACAGAGAAACAATAATGCTAAAGGCAATATTGGTTTTAAATAGTGATGGTGAATGTCAGAAGACGTTATTTAATAAGGTCATAAAATCATTGGTTAAATAATGCCTGAAATGAATGCTAGAGACCTTAATACTTGAACATGATTATATTCCAATAAGAAAACAAAAACCAAAACAAGAATGACAAAAGTTTTCTGGGATATCCAAAAATATCTGGATTAGGAAGTTATAAAAACAAAATTTAATAAGGAGAGATGAAAGGATCAGGTACGTAAATTTAAGCGATATGTGTTTTTATAAGTCTTTCTGAATATAAATCAAACCCAAATTTGAGGAATTTTGCAATGAACTGCCTTTTAAAAATTAACTTAATAATTTCACTTGCATATATCTAAAAGGAAATGCCAAATGTTTCTTTGCAAATGGCTAGGTCATGCAAATTCTGGCTCATTGTTTTGGCTCTACCTAGCTATAAGGCCTTGGACAACACTTCACCACTCTACCCATTTCCTCATCAGTAAAGGATGGGATTCGGCAAGATACTAAGAATCTTCTAGCTCTGATACTCAGTGATTCCATAAATACTACTTTTTCTCATTCCTCCATTCTTAATTTATAGGCCTACTTGAGCATCTACATTGTTCAAAATATGCCCTTCTTTGTATGTGAAGCTACTGTTGCTAAATCACATTCTGTAGTAAAAAACAAGCATTTTGAACTCTGGGTTGGCTTTGCAGCAGTGACAATAGATTTACACAGAATTTTCCACATTTTTTTTGGCCCGAATCTCTGTAAGATAGGAGAGGAAAGGAGGATGGAATGTAATCTGTATGATTTCTCTTTAGGACCAATAGGCCCACAAAGCAAGCAGACCTACAACCTTACCCTCATTTCAACATAAAGTAGTGGTTTCTAAAAAATTTTTTTTATTGCACATATCTCTCAGTAAATAATTTTTGTTGTATGCCTAAATATACACATTTACTTCTAAGTTAGAAATGCATTATTGTAATGACATTACGTATGTTCTAATATACACATAAATATAGAAAGTAAAAAGGATATTGATACATACAAAAGACCAAAATATTCCATCCCCCAAAGCATTATCTTGCACACCCTACTTTTTATACCACTGCCCTAAAAAACCATCAAAATACTGAGCATTCTACAATATTTGTTGAAGCCATATCCACTGCCTTTTCTAGCAACCTCCTTCCAAAGACCCTATCTATCTTCCACACAACCAAACATTCACTATCCTTCCCTCATATTTGGAATTTAATGTTTTCCTACTTTAGTGGATTGAATTTGAATATAGACATTTGGAGATACAGAAATTGTAAGCCTTCCTATACCAGGTGGGTAGGGAAACTTCTCAGTACATGGGTAAGGATGGCCTATTGTAGAGCTAAGTATTTTGACAAAATGGGAAGACTTTAGAATTTGGAGTTACACAGAGAATATTGAAATAAATGCCCAACATTAGTAGAGAGCAATCATTTTTAAAAATTAAGGAGAATATTATGTGTAGCTATTAAAAATCAAGTTTTCAAATATGTTCAAAGTCACATTGTGAACATTTAAATTTTATTATGTGAATTGAAACATACAAAGGCCTTATTTTCTTAAATAATGTATGTGTGTACATATATGAATTAATATGTACATATATATGGTGATTATAGGAAAATATTAACAGTCGTTACATGTAGGTAGTATAATTAAGGTATTTTTGTTTTCTTCCCCATATTTTCCTGTATTTATCCAATTTTCTGCAATAGTATATAGTGATTTTATAACCAGGAAAAAAAACCTTGAAATATTATTTAAAGAAAATCCTCCACATTTATAAAAGCCAGTATATTTTCTGTTTACAATTAATTTACTGAGCCTGGAAAAGAGATGCATTTTACTCATATAAACATTAGTCTTTTCTGAGTACAGAAGCCATCAGTTTAGATAAACAAACCATTATATTGAGGACCTATGTGGAGTAAACTTGCTAGTTACTTAAGCCTGTGATTAGGCTCAGGGGAAGTACTTACACCGTAAATTTAAGCCAACAAAAATCTGTAGTTACCAAATGAAACCACCAGGTGCCACTGTTGCTTTGCAGAAAGGAGAAGAACACCTAGCACCAATTGGTTTCTTATTTAGCATAGATTAGTGCTTTCACCTGCTCAAGGATAACAATAAAATCTTCTCAGAGGCATAACAATTATTTCAATAATGTTATATTCATATCCCCAAAGGTAAATCAGAAGAGATTTGAAGGTATAGTTCCCATCAATTTCCTACATACGGGATTGAGAAAAGAGAACGTACTGTATCAAGAAATAGATTTCAACCATAAAAGCTAACTTTATGTTTTGAAATACCCAACTAATAGTAGCATTTTAATGCTGTTCACCACTGTTTTCTGTGAGAAAGTGCATTCTTCATTCTAACTCTGAATGGCAGGGATGTAAGTCTCCACCCTGGCTCTGCTACTTTCAACTGTAAGGTTTTGGCAGTTAACTCTCCATCTATAAAACAGTAATATCAAGCTTATACAGTTATTTTAAAGATTGAATAACATCATGTGCATAAACAGGGTTATTAGACAATTTATTACTTCTCTCTGCAGGGATAAGAAGTTCCCAGCTTCCTTGGCCACTGAGGCTACATCTAAGTGAGACAGGAAATCTCTGCCCTGATGCTAAAAAGGGTGCTAGACTTAATATCTTAGAACATGGGTCTTTTTCTAATTCAGGATCTATCATTTATGAGGAGTGGACCATGACAAGTCACTTCATCCATTGGGCCTTCTGGTTTCTCATCTTTGAAATAGGGGATTGAGCTAAACAGCTCTCAGGTCCCCTCCAGCCAAGAATCCTATGGTTCTATAAAACCTGTACCACAGAAGGTATCATTCTATTTGTGCCTAATACACTTTCCTGATGCAACATTTCACAAGTATTAAAGTTGGGGGGCAAAGGGCTGTGGGACACATGGGTGCTACCATCCAATCATTTAGTATTTGAGCTCCTTTCATGTACCAAACATAGTGCTAGACTCTGGGGATATAAAATTGAGGATGATACCATCTCTTCCTTCAAGTAGTTTTCAGTCAAATGGAGGAACAGATAGATATCCAAATACAATGCAACAGGGTGAGGGTATGGACTTGAGTATATATCTAAGGAGGCAGACAGTTGATCTTCAGTATGCTGTTGATCAGTTAGTTTCATGAAATTCAAAGTAATTCTGAGGGACTTTTCTGATTTGCCTAAAGTTGTTTCCAGGATGAAGAAATTTCTGGGTCATTCTTCTGTGGCTGTTACCAACTTCTGGCTTAAAGAGACCTAGGCAAGATATTTTCTGAAGTACACACTCCTGGGTTTTATAATCTATATGAAAATGAAAAGTGAATACCCTATAGCATAGCGGAAAGGAGACAGATCGTTGTTTGCAATAGACCAGTAGAGCTTCTTCTGCCATTTAGCACAGATGTTCACATTCAATTTCAGTCCCATTATCTTTCTAAATTCCCTCTCCTCCTTAATGTTTGTCACTGACCCTTTTCTCTTCTCTGAAAATTGCTATGCTCAGTTTTCCCAAATTTTTCTCAACTGGGTCAGCAGCTCTAAACACCCACTGCCTCTGTGCTCTTGCCAGTATGCCTTTATTGATCTGAGACTCCCAAACCAGGGCATTACAAGGCTGGAGAAGAAACGGAAGAGCAAATACCAGCCGCTGCCATCTGGCAATTTCAAAAGCTACCAAATCCCCCTCTGCTTACCAAACTCTCTGTAGTAAGCTCCGGCAAATCCTGGATGGTACAGCAAGGGTAATCCAGGACCGAGATGCTGCAAAATGCAAAGAAAGGGGCAAGCTTTAGGGAAATGGAAATGGCAGTACCTGAAATGGCAGGAATTATTTCTCTCCAGCAGGCCCCATCTATTTCCCAAATTGCTTAGTGACCTCAGCTGAAACTGAGGGTTGTGGTGCCAGGCAACCATGGCACCACATGGTTCCTCATGAGAGGAACCCACAGAGTTCCTTCAGGCCAGCCCCCATCTAGCAGATGCAAAAGAAAGCAGCAAGAGAGCCTCTGGTATAGCCACCTCTCTCCTTTCTTCTGTAAAGAGTCCGGACACAGGTGCACTTCTGTTTGTGCATTTAAGTGTATGATTGTGTATACGTGTGAACTGTGTTCCCAGAGATACTGCCCAAACTTAACCCACTTAGTAACAGTCTGTGGATGTGAGGATGAAATGAAGACCATTCCTATGTCCTTTACCAAATGTTTCTGAAAGCCAGGAGCTCTGGGAAATGATCAAGGAAGCCATTCTTGAAGGAAGCTTAAGACAGAGGCAGCTTCCTGCAGCAGGGCCAATCTAGTAGCTCAAGAATGGTAATAGCATTGGGACATCTGGGTGGCTCTGTCAGTTAAGTGTCCAGTCCAACTCGATCTCGCCTCAGGTCATGATTTCAGGGTCATGAGATCAAGCCCCATGTCGGGCTCTGTGGTGGGCATGGAACCTGCTTAAGATTCTCTCTCTCTCTTCCTCTGCCCACCCCTCCTCGCCCCCGCTTGCACTCATGCATGTTCTCTCTCTCTCATAAAAAAAAAAAAAAAAAAGGAATGGTAACAGCATCTGCCCCCAGAACTGACAGTGGGGGACTATAAGGGAGCTGGAGGCTTTGTGGTGAGCCCAGGGAAGCAGGCATGAGTAGGTAGGGGAAATGAGGCACTGCATTATGACAGGGACATAGTTACTCAAAATTACAGTTCTTCCTTTCCTTTTCTTTTTCATTGGTACAAGGCAGAATTTAGCTCATCTCTAATGCTCCTTCTGATTCTGACATTCTATAAGGTTTATAACCAACCTATCTGAACTGGATCAAGGATGTTGGCAAAGCAAGGGCCATAAAGAGGAGTATGGGGTTTCTTGGACCTGTCTCTACATTTCTAAAGTCAAAACTCTATCCAAGCAAAAGGCAACAATATATTTACCTAGAAATGTTTACCTTTGTCCAAGAAACCCACAATGATAACCAAGGTAGGAGAAGAGAGGGCAGTGGATCTACCTGTAACATTGCTCATCATCTTAATTCACTCTACTGGATTCTCCCAGGGCTGCCAGTTCTGTACTTACTGCTCCATTAGTATAAACATTCTTGGCTGGCTTATCCACTTATCTACCCACCTCCCACAAAGCCCCATGGCAAAGTAGATGCTGGCAACCAGGAAATGGGGGCAGGAAATCAAAGATAGATTTGTTCCATCCTCTGTGAACTGAATTCTAGCCTAAGGGGGCAAAAAATAAAGTTACAAGTTTCTGGAATATCTATCTAGATTGTAAGAGCCATGAGCAAAGTGTGCAATAAGGGGCTATGGGTATTCCAAGTTCTCAGGGATTATGCTGCAGTAAAGCTTGCAGGTGGTGCAGAAGAGAACCATCTTATCCAGGCTAAACTTAGTTAATGATGTAGTCTGGCACTACCACTCTTCCAATTCCAAATAGAACCTAATGGACACCTATCAGATTATTTGCTCCTCCCCTTCCAGGCCCATGGTGGAGGTTGGGTATTTAGTTCGTGAACCCCGGCCATACTTGATTGATCCAGGGGTGGATCTCTAACTGGAAATGTGGAACAGGACTCTCATATGTTTATCTTAACTGATACTTATATAAAAACTCTATGATATAGTCAGGAAATGTATTATTTTAATTTTAAGATAAAAATAGTGTGGCTCAAAAAAACCAGAGAGTCCTTACTTGAGATTACATAGCTAGCAAATGGCAGGTCTCATGACTTCAAGTTCCATGTGTGTATGTGCACTTTATTTTATTTTTTAAAGATTATTTAGGGGCACCTGGGTGGCTCAGTCAGTTATACGTCTGCCTTCAGTTCAGGTCATGATCCTAGGGTCCTGGGATCAAGCCCCTCATGGGGCTCCTTGCTCAGTTGGGAGCCTGCTTCTCCCTCTCCCTCTGCTCCTTCCCCTGCTTGTGCTCTCTCTCCCAAATAAATGAATAAAAGCTTTAAAAAAATTTATTTGAGAGAGAGCAAGTGGAGGGAGAGGGAGAGAAAGAATCTCCAGCAGACTCCCTGCTGAGTGAGGAGCCCAATGCAGGGCTCCATCCCAGGACGCTGAACTCATGACCTGAGCTGAAATCAAGAGTTGGACACTCAACCGACTGAGCCACCCAGTTGCCTCTGTGTATTTTAAACTACATATAAGTAGGCTGCCTCTCCATGGTGAACTTTTAGGCAGTTTAAGACTGGTGAGGCATCAGTCTCCCGGCCTTCTCTAGTCACCCCAAGTAATCAGATCAGCCTCCTTCTACTTTAGGAACTCTGCCTCTGGTAAACTCTAGTTAACATGCTTCTAGTTCTTGTGGAAGTAGCAAACTAAAAAACAAGGATTTACTCTGTAACTCCCAAGTCCCCAGTTGGCTGGAGGAGTGAAAAGCAATTTGTATTCATAGTAATTGTGACCAGAAAACAATCTGCGTTTTGATCCTGCCTCTGCTGCTTACTTAAGTCGTCTCACTAGCATGTTGAGCAAGTCAATTAACCTCCCTGAATTTGTTTACTAATTGGTGAAGTGAGAATAAAACTTGTTGTAATACCTCTTACCATTACTGAGGAGATTAAATAAAATACCATATATTTGTTTTATTACAAACTGATCCAAGTAAGGGTCTGTTAATTACCTTGAGTTACAAATTCTACATAACACTACAGTTTACAAAGTAGTATAATTGTTACAACTTATGATTTATACTAAGATCAGGGCTGGCCAGATAAGAGGGCTGTTTCACAAAAAAACATCCTCTGGATCCTTCTGCCATAGGGCTAAAATTTCATTGTTGCAGTTTTATTTATTTGAGTTGTGACATTTTTTAGTTTTCAAAACTATTAAAATACAAATACCTCTGTGAAGAGGCCAAACCACACACCCCATCAATTAACACTTCAAGGAAATTAAATTTAACAGTGACAGCTCTAAGGTAGAAAGGACTAGGGACACAAGGAGAACTGAAAGGCTCAGAGATGACGTATATTTCCCAACCCATCCCAAAACAGACCTTTGAAATAAACCTGTCCAGAGTCCATACCTGTTTTTGGCAGTGATGTAGGACAAGATATTTTGATTGAAGAACTTCAGGATCAATGGAATGCAGTTGGCAAATACCAAATGTTGTGATACATATTCAAACTGAATTAAAAGATCAAAGCAGAAAGGGCTGCTTATTTGGGGGATAATAGAAAGTACACATGAAAAATAAGATTGGCAAGTACAACTCTAATATCCATTCCTAACAATATCCACTGTCCACTTGTGTTATCAGTCCTCCTGCCTGAGAAGTGGGGAGAAGCATCATCAGCCAGCTCATCCTGCATGGAGGGGGATAATCTGCAGTGTGTGTATGTTGTAAACACCTGACCAAAAGCACAAAACATAAACAAGGCAGAGAGAAAATCCCACTCCAGATAAATAGAAGGAATTGCTGCAATATTTGTTCCTAAGCTCAGCAAGAAAGGAAGGCTCCCTGAGGGAGCGGTCTTCCATACCAAACCTCTGGTTCATAGTGTTTCGGCAGTGATTGATACAGCAGGAACAGGTGCAGCTTACTCCCAGCAACTGCTGGCATCGTTCAGTCCAGACGGATACGGCACATAGCAACCAGCTGAACCACTGGGATGTGGACTCCAGCATGAGTCTGTCTGGTTCACTGCATTATCCCTGTACTTACATTATCAGTATTTTATTTTATTTTTTTAAAGATTTTATTTATTTATTTGACAGAGAGAGAGGGAACACAGCAGGGGGAGCGGGAGAGGGAGAAGCAGGCTTCCCGCCAGGGCAGGGAGCCCGATGCAGGGCTTGATCCCAGGACCCTGGGATCAAGACCTGAGCTGAAGGCAGACACTTAACCGACTGAGGCCCCCAGGCGCCCCCATTATTAGTATTTTAATGAATGGATCAACAAGAGCCCTTCAGTCAACAGATATTGCATTGGGGTGCCTGGAGGGCTCAGTTGGTTAAGCGTCTGCCTTCGGCTCAGGTCATGATCCCAGGGTCCTGGGATGGAGGCCTGCATCTGGCTCCCTGCTCAGCAGGGAGCCTGCTTCTCCCTCTCCCTCTGCCTGCCTGTCTGCCTACTTGTGATCGCTCTCTCTCTGTCAAATAAATAAATAAAATCTTAAAAAAAAAAAAAAAGATACTACACTGAGAATAAATCCAAGATTTCTTTGATGGGCTAAGTCCAAGATCTCTTTGATGGGATAAACACCAGAAATAGGGGTTCCATTTTGCTCTCTTGAATTTGGATGGGGTTTGTGTCTGGGAAGACCTACTGGGCAGTGTCCTGGAGTGCAACACCTGGATTTTGCCTGTGATGCACTGAGTATCAGACACAGTTTGCCTCTAGATCCAGAACCCAGACTGCTGGGATAGTACAGAAACTGGGTTGAAAAACCAGAAATTTGTGGTGTTTTAAATCCCTTAGCTTTTCCTGATCTCCAAGAAGTAGCCATGGCAGCAAGCCAAGCTGCCCTCTGCCCCTGGGTGTGTGGTTAGAGGTGGGGAGTCAGCTTGTGCTGCCCATTTCTCTCTTCTCAAATATTTTCTCCCTGGCAGCCGACCTGGGGTATTTTCCAAAGTTCCAGATGGAGCAGCCAATACATACCCACTATGAAGTTATGGAAAATGTTTTTCAACTTGAAATTTGTCTGTAGCCTTGTTGGGATTCACTGACACTGACACACACTGGCAAGGCCCATCAAGCCACCCACCTGTCTGGCTGTTGATCCACATACTGCCCACCAAGAGATGCAGACAGAAAAAACATATCCACGGTTCTCTGTTCTTTCTACTAGGAACACTATCTCCCACCCACCCGTACTCCTCCCAGCCCTGCTGTTGCTCAGCAAACACTGGCAGAAGTGCGAGCACCCAGGACACCCATAATATACCCAAAGATGTCTCTGAATGTACTAGAGTGGAGAAATACCCTGATTATATAGTCAAACCTGTATGGACACAGACCCTGCAGGAGCCTCTGTGCACTCTGAGAATCTGCAGTTCTAGCAGCAAGCTTGGTTCTGACTTCTTAGGAGGAAAATGGGGCAAAGACACTGGGCAGTCATGAGGAGCCTCCTCTCCTCCCCATGTTCTTACCACAGAGACCATCCACTCCCTGCCCCCAGGTTCCCTGATATTTGGCAATGCCCACAGTACCAAGTCCAAACTCCTCAGCCTGGTGAACAATGCCTTCGTGGGAAAGCAGCTTCTTAACCTTTCTTACGCTCGGCTTCCTCATTTATAAAACAGGGCTAAAATAAGACCTACCTCATAGGATTAAGAGATTTAAATGAGATCCCACATGAACTTAAGAGAGTGCCGGGCACATTATAAGTACTCAACAACCGTGTACTACCATATGTATTATGATCTGCTCCCTGTCCGTCCTCTCCAGCTCCATGTATCACCAGGCCGCCCCATCTCCCCTTACCCCAGGGAGAACTCCAGCAACATTTAAACAGTCTCCAAAGGTACTTTGCTCTCTCTCCTCTGGACTTCCATAGATTAACATTTCTGCTTGAAATGCTTCCTATTTCCTTCCCTGACAACTCCCATATCCTGACTCACATCTGTTTCTTTAGGACTCAGGTTAAAAGTCACCTCTTCTCCATTGCAGGTTGGATTACCAGCCAGTGCTTACCTGTATCATGTACTTACCATTCCATAATTAGCTATTTATATATCCATATCCTTTACAAGACTTCAAAGTCCTTAAGAGCCAAAACTGTGCCTTATTTAGGATTATATCTCAAATGTTAGAAAAGGGCTTCACATATAGAAAAGTTTTTCTGCATACTTTTTCCTCACTTTTTTTTGTGGAATGCTTGAATCCTGTCTTGCACTGCTTCAAAGCTAGCTGGGCACATTCCCAAGAAGCCAAGGATTCCTACCCACAATCCTTGGATAACATTCAAAGGACAGAGACATCTGCACCTGTCTAGGACAGTTCCTCACATCCCACTCCATACCCTCACGCAAGCTTGTGCAACAGGTAGATGGATTCCCCGAGGAGGACAAAGAAAAGGCTGAAAGATGTTCAACTGGACTATAAAGGTCCCTACAGCTCCTCTTTGGGAGACAGGGCCTGGAGAACATCTGAGACCTGTGGAGAAGTGCTGCTAGCTGCTCACCTGGTAGATGTGGTTCAGTTTGAAGTGTTTGAGGAGGAGCAGGAGCAGGGCAGAGATACTCTTTACAATGATCTCCTTGTGCCTGTTCACATCAATGCCCAACTTCATGCTCTGGAGAACAGTGATGCTACAATGGGGAGAGGAGTGAGGGCAGAGAGTAGCCTTAGAGAGAGGCCTATAAGGACCCAGATATTTGGGTCAGAGACAACGTATACAAGAGAGCCAGAACTTGGGAGATTTGAACTTCTGTACTAGGGAAACCTCCAGAGTTCCCACTTACGAGCCTGTGTGGAGAAAAGCTCCTTTGCTCTCTTTGTTTTTCTCTCTCCTTTGGCAAGCTCATCTCTTGGCAATGTCCACCCACATACCTATGCAACCAGTCATTGGCACTGATGATGCCCTGTAGACCCTCAGTTTTGAGCTCAAAAGAACCCAACAGAGAGCACTGCAGTGGAAAGGGTAGAGGAGATCTCTTTGCTGACAATCCCTCTGTTATCAAGGTGGGGTGGGGACAAGAGAGATGCTATAGACAAAACAGCTAGCATTCAGCAGCCAACCCAGTTGAAGCACTCACGGCATCTCCTCAGGCAGGACATCTGCTAGGATATTGATAGAGTCTGTCTTGGCTTTGGAGGTGGGGGCTGCAGCCAGCAGAATCTTAAGTAGAGCAATCTAGGAAGTAGAAAATGAGGAGATCCATCTCTGCCCATCCCATTCAACAAGGCTATTTTTCCATACCTCAACAGCCCTATGAGAAGTGTTTTAGGGGCGCCTGGGTGGCTCAGTCGTTAAGCGTCTGCCTTGGGCTCAGGTCATGATCCCAGGGTCCTGGGATCAAGCCCCGCATCGGGCTCCCTGCTCCACGGGAAGCCTGCTTCTCCCTCTCCCACTCCCCCTGCTTGTGTTCCCTCTCTCGCTGTGTCTCTCTCTGTCAAATAAATAAATAAAATCTTTAAAAAAAAAAAAAAAAAAAAGGGTTTTAATGCCTTCTTCTACGTTCATTCCTCAATAACCAAATCTCCCCAGGCTCCAGAAGGGCCAAACAGGTGCCTAGTCCTGAGAGGCCTGTCTGTGAGGCTCTAAGGAGCCAGGGAGCTGTAGGCTGTTCTGCTTCAAGACTGTTCTAAAGAAGATTATGGAAGGAATAGAGAGGGGCAATGCCTAGAAATAAGGTGAGAGATATAAGCATGATGTCACCTTCTCTACCCCTTTCCTTCCTCTAACCCTGACCATCAGCATCCTCACCATTCAGACTGAGGCTATCTAAGACATGACAGACCATGGCCTCAGAGGGACTAGGGTACTTACTTAGAAGGAGGGCCCCCAATACATTCTGCATGGACCCCACCTTATTCTCCACCCCTCCCAAAGGACTTGGGAGTAGGGCCAAGTCTTCCTTCCTCTTGGAGAAGCCCCTGAGGAAAGCTCAGAATTCTAATGTGTTAGAGAATGCTTTCCCTCAGGGGAGAAGCCTCAGGGAACAAGCTCAAATAATGGACAGGTCAGCCTGAAATGGTTCTCAGCTGCCTGGTCCTGGAGCAGAGAAGGGCAGCTCTGGCCCAGCTATCTCCTTACCATGTACTGAGGGAGGCTGTAGAGCATGCCCTGGTAGAGGATTTCACACGGCGTCTCTGGGACCACCTCTTCCCCCTATGGCAGGAAATACACAGTTTGCCCAGGCCATTTTCCAGTTGACCAAAGGCTATGTTTTCTTGGTTGTGAAGGGTGGCATGAAAAGAGCGCTAAGCTGGAGTCAGATCTAGGTTCTTATCCAGCTGTGTTAATGACTCATTATATCACCTTGGGTAAGTTTACTTTCTCTCTCTGGGTCTTAGTGTCCTCTTCTTTAGGATCACTGGGCCGGTCTGATGTCCTCTGAGGGCTCTTCCAGCCCTAACAACCTATGATTCTGGTTTTCCCATTATCTGGAATCAATACAGAATTCTTCTTTCCCCATCACATGTTGGATCAGGAGTCAGAACACCTACCTAGGAGTTGGCTCAAACCACTGCTTTTCTGGCCACGCATAGGCTTAAGTCAGGGTACACGTATGTCTGGAACACTAGAACAGACACCCCACACAGAAGCACTTCCTGTGGTGTCAGTCTGAGGCCATCCAAGAGCTCTGGAATGCTTGGAAGTGAGAGGTAGTTAACTCAGTAGAGAAGGCTGATAAGGGAGTTGGGTAACCCATGGCCGGGAGAGGCAGGAAGGAGTATTAGTAGGGAAGTTTTTAAGTAGAAACTATTTTCTTTCCTTCTCCAGTAGTCACTACCACATCTCTTCCTCTTTTATGACCAGCCCCCTCATCCACAACTCTGTCCTTTGATGACCCCATCTAAGCCTTTTATCAGAGTGGGGGTACCAGGGCCTCCGGTGCTCAAGGGGCTATTCAGGCCATCATCATCTTTGGCCAGTTCAGTTCTTCCTCCCACAAGTTACCTCTATTCAAGGGCAAGGGTGACTGCCTTGAGACCCTGAGGCAGGGAAGAATAACATGGCCCCTGCCATCCCACATAACTCAACTGCTGCTTAAATGGGCATTCAATAAACTCAGGCAATAGATCTTTGGGAGAGCAGGTTGCCTTCATGCTCTCCCAAAGATCTATTTCATACCTTCTCTTCTCCCCTGTCCTCAAACCAATCCCCTCACCCCCCAATCCCTCAATAGTTGCTAACCCAGCCTTATACTTCATGGAGAAAACAGAGGCAATCAGACAGTTCATCTTCTCAAAACCAAATCTACCAGGGTCTCTACCTTCCTTCTTGACATGAAGTATGAACCGCCTCTGCTCTATGAAAGGCCAACCCTCCACTTGTGCTGGGGATCTCTCATGCTTTTGCTTTGTCGAATGCATCAGTTCTGCAATTGTCTCTTCTCTCCCAGATCATCTCTTTCAGGATATAAACATATTCTAGTGTCTCCTAGCTATAAAACACTGTCCTCTGACCCCACATCCTCCTTCAGCCACCATCCCAACATTCAATACTGTTATTTCTAAAGAAGAT